GCTCCAGCCTTCCTGCCACGCAGAAAACTCCAAATTTCTTGACCCCACCCCCCCACCCCCAACTCTCTTGACCTCCCAGTTGGATCCCTAAGAGTCAAAAACCTCTGGGCACCTGCCCAAGGGCTCTTCAGCAGCCACCACATTTGCATTCATGTGAGAAGGAAATATCTCTTACAATACAGGAATTCAATATATATTTGAAGTCAGTTGAGGCTGAGCCAGCCATCGCCTCCACTAACGCCAGACCAGGGCGTGGGCCAGTGCCTGCTTCCTAGTCTTGGCACCAAGACGCCCCAGCTCAGTCTCCTGGGGATTCTGAGGGGTCACTGCTTGCATCCTTGCCACCCCTTGGAGAAGAAGGGGACCCCTGCCACAGTCCCCCCACACCAGCTCATGGGGACGATGTGGGCTCCCTGTCTTCAGGCTTGTCGCTTTTGGAGGACTTTGGCTTCAGCAAGATGAACCTGTTGAGGAGGTCGGTGTCCGAGCTGGCCTGGGCACCTGCATACGCCTCCCCTGGGGACAAAACAGAGGGTGGGCTCACCTGGTGGGGACAGCTCGGGGGGCTGGAGGAGCAGGATCCCCTCGGTGTGGGGCGGGGACACTCACCAGCATAGCTGGAGGACTCGGCCATGTTCTGGGAGCCAGTGATGTGGTGCCAGTAGGCGCTGCGGGGCAGCATGGTCGTGGGCGTGCAGGGGTAGGAGAAGTGCTCAGTGCCCTTGTTCAGCAGCTGCATGGAGGGGAGGAGGGTGACACAGGGCTCCCAGAGCCTCCCCCAGCTGTGTCCCCCCTCAGCACGGGCTGGAGCTCACCCTGACGTTCTTCTCCATCTCCAGCAGGACCCTCTTGTGCTGCTCAGCGATGGCCAATGTGGCGCTGTGCACGCGCTGGTAGATCTGCTCCCCCTCCTGCGTCTGGAAGGTGTAGAGACCTTCCCCTGCGTCACACATCCTGCGGGGACAGGGCACAGGATGTCACCAGGGTCTTCAAGCCAAGGGATGGTGAACCAAACCCACCCAGATGACAGCTGGCACAGTTAGAGCTGTGCCTAGGCCCCCTTCACGGTGCTGATCTGGGACCAGAACCAGCTCCAGGCACGGGCACGCTGTACAGCCCACGGCCATCACCCCAGCCTCAGGCCTGCCCTGTGGTGATGCCAGCAGTGCCACTGCCTGCAGCATCCAGCTGGAGGAGGGCACAGAGCCGTGATCCCTGTCCTGGCAAGGTGACATCTCACCGCCCAGCCTCGAAGGTGAAGCGGGTGGCGTCGCGGCCGTAGCGGCGCAGGGAGCAGAGGGGCCAGGAGACCAGCTTCAGCCGGGGGTTGTGCGTGTCCCAGAGGTAGATGTTTTCGTGGGTGATCTGCAGCTTGCACTCGCCATAGACGTCCAGGTTGGGGCAGGGGAGGAGGAACACGTTGAACCGGTCTGGAAAGGGGAAAAAAAAAGAAAATAAAATAATCAGCGGGGGGTGCAGCGAGGCGGAGCCCCGGGCGAGCACTCCCCGCCGCGCTCACCCGTCTGCTCGCACTGCACGCCGGGCGCCAGCAGGTCGGGCTCCCCCAGGCTGATGTCGTTCAGGCGGGCGCCCAGGCACTCCACCGACAGCGTCTTGTACCACTCCTCCGCCTCCAGCTCTGCAAGGCACCACGGCAGCCCCTGGGCGACCCTGGCCACGCCGGGGTGCCGCACCCAGCACCCTGAGCCCGGCTCCCCTGGGCGCTGCCCCGCACCTGAGTCGCAGGTGAAGGTCCGGGCGGAGTCGTCGGTAAAAACGATGGCCACCGCCTGTCTCTTGGTCTCCTTGGGCAGCCGCGTGATGCACTTGACATTGCTGATCTCGGTGACCTGCAGAGGAGCTGGGGGTCACCGAGGGCTGCTCCCTGTTCCCTGCAGCACCCAGACCCTGGCACCTGCAGCGCCCAGAGCCAGCCGCATCCCCGTCCGGGCTGACAGCCACCCAGCGAGTGGGAGCTGCTCCGGCACGGGTGCCCAAGCAGCGGGCAGCACCCCGGCACCCCTCCAGCGCACCCCCTCACCTTGGGGCACCCCCGCAGGCACGCCGACTTCTCATCCGGGTACTTCTCCAGGCGCTGGGGCCCTTTGCTGGAGGATTTGCGGAAGACCAGCCAGCAGCGCCGGTAGATCTGCCGGACAGAGCGCGGCGGCCGCTCGTCCCTGTCCCCGCCACATCCCCCTGTCCCCACCCCCAGGACCCTGCCTGGTTCCGCTGACCCTGCTGGCCTGGGGACAGGAGGGGATGCTGGGGACAGGGCTATGCTGCCATCATCTGCCCCCACCCCCCCGCCAGTGCTAATTACAGAGCTTAATTAATGAACACAGACAAAGCTCCCAAGGGGACCGCTGTTCTGGCATTTCCCCGTCCCCTCTCCTACATCCCCTGCCTCTGAGGGTGGTGGGGGCACCGTCCCCAGGCATGTCCCCCCTCCCTGGATCCCGCTCCTTCTTTGTTCTCCCTAATTAGCATGAAATTACCCAGCATGCTCGTTGCTGCGGCTCCAAGCCATGGAGATGGGCGACCAAACCCCCTGACCCCCCACCTATGGGTGCTGCACTCCCACACCACCCTCATTTGCACCCAGCGGCTCCAGCCCCTCCCGGCGTGGGGCAGCCCCGGTGCCAAACTGTGCGTGCAGGGAAACTGAGGCACGGGGGGAAGGGAAGGCTCACAGACATTCCCCAAGCCCTGGGTGACCTGGGACAGGTGAACGGGTGCTACTCGGTGCAGGATTCGGCCGGTGCAGATGCTGGACCCCTGGGGCTGCTGGGTGATTTGGGTACCAACAAGTGGCCCGTCCCTGCCATCCCCCACTCCTCCGCCACCACAGCCCCCAAAAGGCTGCTTATTCACTCCCAAAACAGGGGCACAGGAAGCCACATGAGGGACCTGTCCACGTCACCTCACCGGGAAACCAGCACCCCAAATCCATGGGTGTTCCTCCCCACATCTCCCCATTCCCCAAGATCCCCACTCACCCCCAGCTTCTTGCTCTTCATCCTCACATAGCCCTGCTTGATGATGTCGTTAAAATTCGTCGCCATGGCGATGGCTCGATAGAGTAGGGGATATTTTGGGAGGGGGGGGCTGCCTTCACCTTCGCCCCCCCCTCTCCATCCTCTTCCTCCCTACCCCTCCTGTCTCACCACCGGCCCGGCTTGGTGCTAGCAGTGTCCCCCATGCTGGCTGGAAAAGAGAAATGACAGATCGACGGGTGACATCTTCCTCGTCCTCCTCCCCCTCCTCCTTGTCGTCCTCCTCCTCCTCCTCCTTCCCCTCCTCCTCCTCCTCCTCCTCCTCTTCCTCCTCCCTTCGCTGCCTGAACCATCCGAGTGGAACAGTCCGGTGTTAACCCCTGCCAGCACGGCGGAGCCAGGGTGGCACAGACAAGACAAGTGGTCAGTCCCCTGCCGCCAGCTCCAACATGTGTCCGGGGGACACCCGCAGCAGACCTCGCCCGCAGGTCTCCATCACCCCTCGCACTCCCCTCCTTCCTCCCAGCTGCTCGCTTGGGCAGCAACATGGCCCCGGCCCTTGGCACGGGCTGGTTCAGCGGGAACGGCCAGGCCGGCTCTGCTCCGGGGTGTTTCAGCTGGCACCGGGTGCCAGGGGGACCCGGGCTCCCAACCTAGCAGCCCCGGAGTCACCCAGCCTCTCTCCGGCCCTGCCGGGGCTCGGCCTCGCTCAGCCCGCTCCCTGCTGGTTCCCACCGTGGGACCAGCTGGGGACCAGGCTCCTTTCCCAGGCGGAGTCCCAGGTGGGAGGCAGTAACCCAGGACACAGCACAGGGCCATCCCCGGGATGCTCCTCCATGCCAGCGGTGCCCAGAGCCCAGCCCCGCGGGGCATCCCGCCGGGACAGCGCCCTGGGGACCCCCGCTGTCCGAGAGGTGACAAATCCCCCGCGCCCCATCCCCATCACCCACCCCCGCACACGGGCACCCCGAGGGAGCTCCGAGCTGCTGGGGGGCTCCTCCTGCCCGCTCCCCCCGAGCTGTCACCGCGGCCCCCGACCCCCAGCCCCATCACAGCCCGCTCTCCCACCGGGACGTCCCTCCGGGCGTTGTCACCTCCCGGCCCTTCGCCCCCGACGCTTGTCAGCCCAAAGCTCGCTCAAGCCCCGCTCCTGCGCCCCCCGCTCCCCCGCCGGTCCCGCCGCCTTACCCCGCTCCCGGTGCGAGCGGAGCCGCCGCGTCCTGCGAGCCCCGGAGCCGCTCGGTCCCGCCCCGCCCGGCCCCGCCCCGGTGCCCTCCCTCCGCCCCGGTGCCCTCCCTCCGCCCCGGGCTGCCCAACCGGAGCCACCACCGGCCGCCCTGCACGGAGAATTCCATCGTTCGGCTTCAGAGCCAGCACCCCGCAGCGAGGGGCGGCGGCGGCGGCCTCGTGTCCGTCCCTCGGCTCAGGTGTCACCGCGTCCCCGCTCCGTGCCCCCCAAACTGGTTTCTAGCCCCTCGCTAAAACTGCCCCCAGGCACCCCCACCCCCGCGGCCTCACTTGTTGGGCTATAAAAATATGAATAATGGCTGGAAATAAAAGGGCATTAAAAAAAAAAAAAAACCATGAGCAGCAAAGAGCTGCGCTTTTAGCCAATCAATTAAAAGGCAGAGCGAGGGGATTAGCTCACCGAAATATTAATTTTTAATGAGGTTGTGTCTGAGCGCCTCCAAAGCCCCCAAGGCCCTGTGCTGGATTGAAGGGGGCTGGGCTGAAGGGGCTGTGCTGGGCTGATCAGCACCCTCAGGTGAGCACCTCTGCACCTCCCCAGGGTGAGCACCTCTGGGTGAACACCTCTCACTGCCCAGGCCCAGGGACAGCTTTACCCTGCACTGGGCTGGTCTCCAGGCATGGGGACAGGGATGCCAGGGGGTGACATCCAGGTCTGTGAGTGCCTGGTGAAGAAATGCTGATTTTCTATGATATGTCCCCTCCCCACCCTCACCCCTGTGGGGACAGACCAGCAGCTCACACCACCACCAGAGCCTGGGCCCATCTGGGCTCTGTATTTATAATAAAAAATCATATACAAATACATACATATATATAATATATATAAAAAGAAGTGGGCAGTTTGTGGCTGCCAAGCTTGGTGCCTCTCTTTGCTTGTGCCTCCTGCTCCTGGGCTGCTCAGTGATGCTGGCTTCAGTGGCCACATCAGCGTTCCAGGAGATGCCAGTGGCCGAAGGCGCATCCAGTACTGTCCAAGCAGCAGCAGGTTTTGGAGCACCCTGGGGCAAATTTCTCCCCACCGCTCTGTGCCTCAGTTTCCCCATCTACACAAGCATCACCGCACAGCTGGGCCCCGCGGCGAGATGCACTTGAAGGCAGAGCACTGATGTGGCACGTCCTGCGGTGGTGGCACTGGCCCTGGGCTCTAGGGCACCTGTATCTGCAGGTCCTCGTCCTCGTCGGGGTCGCTGGTGCCGTCCCCGTTGTCGTCGGCGCCGAAGCGGGCGCTGCGCATCTTGCCGAAGAGCGGGGCGCTCTGCTGGCGCCGCAGCCTGCGAGGGACACCTGCTGCCAGGGGGCTGCCAGCACGGCCCTGGGGGCCCCATTGCCTGCACCCCTGCAGCATGACTGCACCCCGGAGAGATCCCTCCCTGCAGCCCTGACCAAGCTGTGGGTGCAGGATGAGCCCGCGCAGCCCGGGGCCGGCACGGAGCTGGGAGCTGGGGATGGTGCTCGGCACAACCAGGGCACAGGCCAAACCCCTCCGTGGCTGTGCTGGGCAGCACAGACCCAGCCAGGACTGCAGAGAAGGGAGGTGTCAGCCCCCTAAACTGAGGAACCCTCAAAACCCCCAGGAGTCCCCATTCCCAGGAGCCTGTGGTAGTTTTAGCTCTTGCCCTTGTGTGAAAATTCATCAAGGAAATTTTATGAATCAAATTTGAAATCCAAAGGCCAAGGATCCAGTGAGATCCAACCAGTCCACCACACTTTACTGGAAAGCATGAATTATTTAGGGTTGAGTGCACAGGGAGTCTGGGGGGGCCTATGAATCCTCCATTATGCTTCCATGATTTAATGCAGATGTCCCAATAAAATAAAGGATGATTATAAACACCCCCCCAGCGCCTCCTGGAGCCACGGCATCGATCCCACGGCCATTTCAGCTATTTACTGCTGGAGAGGCAAAGCAGGGCTGGGGAAAGTTTTAAGGGCAAGAAAACTCAGCTCCCACCTCCCCAAACTGGTGGGGGATGCCAGGAGCCTGCCTGGCCATGGGTACCTGTGAGTGCAACCTCAAGCAGCACAAAACTGAGCTGTGCTGGTCTCTGGGCAGCCTTGTGCTGGTTTAACCGGGAGGTGAATGTCCCCCAGATCAAGGTGGGGTGAAGACTGCCCCGAGGAGGCTGTGCCCCTCCCGAGGATGTCAGAGGCACTCGGGCCATGCTGAGCCCGGGCTTCAACCAGGCAGCTGCTGGCTGAGGGATGGTGGCAAGGAGAACATCGTCCCCTCCTGGCTGGTGCCCACGTGGCTCACCCAGCCCCTGCTCACCGTGACTGCAGATGCTCCAGCTGCACCTGGAAGCTCTCGCTCTGCTCCGTCTGCTCGTCCAGAGACCGCTGCAGCTTCCGCGTCTGGTTGTGGGCCTCATCCAGCTGTGGGATGGGATGGGATGGGATGAGGTGGGATGGGATGGGATGGGATGGGATGGGATGGGATGGGATGGGATGGGGCTGTTGACAGCTGTGTAGGGAGCAGAACAGCTCCCTGACCTCCTCCACCAGCATGAGCTTTCCCACCTCATCCTCGGCTTGGGCCAGCTCCTTCTTCAGCTCCTCCACCCTCAGGCGCAGCTTCTTCACCTCTCCCTCGTGCTGCTCCACGCGGCGGTTGGCATGGGCCAGCTCAGCCATCTTCTCCTGGTACTGCTTCTTCAGCTTGGTGTGGATGTGCTTCAGGTCGGCCAGCTCCTGTGGTGGGCATGGGGAGGGGGCTGAGCAGGGGACAGCCACCCCCACCACTGGGTGTCCCCTCCTCCCTCCCCAGGGATCTCTCCCATTGCCCCACCCCATGACCCAGGAGCTGATGGGGTCACCACCATCCCTTGAAGGGTGATGGCAAAATTTGGGCATGAGGGAGTCCCTGGGGAGGCTGAGCCCCACAAGAGTCACCCAGGGATGCGGTGGTGGGGGACACCACTCCTGTGGCACCTTGTTCTTCTCGAAGAGCTCAGCCTGGATGGTTTTGAGGTCAGTGTCCAGGGCGCTGGCTGTCTGGCGCCGCTTGCGAGCCAGCACCTCCTCCAGGTCCTCGATCTGTGCCCGCAGCTTCTTGTTCTCCCGCTCCAGGTTGAGCTTCTCCGTCTCCAGCCGCTCCCGCCGGCCCCACTCGGCCGCGTTCTCTGCCTGCAGCCGCTCCATCTGGGACAGGGGCACGGGGTGGCTGGGGGCAGCAGGACCCCCCTCGCTGCCCCCTTTGCTCCCCGTGCTGGGGTTTGGCCTCACCTCTGCACGCAGCTCAGCCAGTTTCTTGTCCATGCTGGAGCGAGCACCCAGCTCATCCTCCAGGTCCTCGGAGATGCGCCCCAGCTCGTCCTGATGAATCTCCTTCAGGATGTTGAGCTGTGGAGGGACATGGCACCAAAGGGGGCTGGGAACGCCCACCTTCCCCCTGAGCCTTGCCCACATCCACCCAACCTCTATAGATGGACCCAATGCTTCAATAGCATTGAAGACCCTGAACAAGCAACCTGGAGTTGGGGAAGTGGCTGTGGGCCACCATGCCCATCAGGATGTGCCACCCTGTGAGGGACAGGCCACCCCTGGGGCACCTCGCTCACCTGCTTCATCACCTCCTGCTTGTTCTTGTTGAGCTCCTCGTACTTGATCTTCCACTGGCTGAGCTCTCCCTCCAGCTTCTCAATGTTCTTGCTGAGCGCCAGCTTGTCCCTGGGGAGAGGCAATGACAGTGACAGACTGCAGGACCCATGCTCATGCCATCCCAGTGGGGACCAGGCTGCTATCAGCTGGCACTCTCAAGGATGATGCCCAAGCACTCACTCCCTCTCCTTGAGCAGCACTTTTTGGGACTCATCCAGCCGGAGCTTCAGGGCGGTGACTTTGGTGGCGTCCTCCTCCGCGGCGCTGACGTCCTCCCAGAGCAGGCGGCTCCGCTCCTGGCGGCTGAAGGAGGCCCGGGGGCCCCGCTGCTCCCAGCTCTCGTCCTGCTTGCTCGTCAAGATGTTTTCCATCAGCTCCAGCTCCTGTGGCGCCGTGGGTGGCCCAGCACAGGGGACAGGGTCAGAGGGCTCCCCAGCCCCTGCAGCACCCAGCCCTCGCCCCATCACCAAGAGCACCTCTCCCTCTGTCCCCCAGGGATCCCCTGAGGCTGATGAAGAGGGACTTGCCCTCCAAGGGGAGCTCCCACACATCACCACATGCTGCTGCCAGCTCCTTGCCATGCTGGAAATCTGGTATCAAAAAATTTAAAATCAATTTATGACACCGATCTCACCCAGGACTGCCACATGGGTGACCTTCTACCAGGCGCTCTGAGTGCACAGTGAATGAGCTACAGGGTGTTCCAGGGGACAGGATGTCCCTGGGGACCAAGTGTGGAGCCCGTGGGGGATGCCCACATTAGTCTCAGATTTGTCACTTGGCAGCTGTGCTGTCAGGTGGACTGAACTGTCACAGCACAGCACCCCGAGCAGTGACTTCTGTGCTGTGACAGAGCTAACAGCAGCAGAGGAGGGATGGCTGCAGCACCTGGGACAATCCTGGAGGTGGCTTTGCTGGTGTGCCTCCCCACTTCCTCCTCCTTCTCCTTCCTTCAGCAAAAACCCCTGCCAGAAGCCCATATGGACACCCAGACAATCAGGCCATGGCTGGGAGATGCCACCAGCACTGCCAATGTCACCATCCCCTGTACTGGCACAGTGAATTTTGCCTAGTGCCTCCAAAGGGAAAACTCCAGGAAAGGGACTGGTGCCAGTGCCAAGGTGATCTCTCTGCAGGGGGCTGTGATGGCTCTGGATCTCCTCATGACGCTGCTCTGAGGACTCTGATCTCCCCAGTGCTGTTCCAAGAGGGATCTGACTGTCCTGTAATGCTCCAAGAGGGGGCTGAGCCCAAAGTGATGCTTGGAGGGGTCTGACACCCCCCATACCAATCCAAGAGGGGTCTGACCACCCTGTACTGCTGAGAGGGGTCTGGCCCTGCCAACCCTGCCCCAAGAGCAGTCCCCCCACACTTTACAGGACAGGCAGTGGTGCTTTGGGGGTGCACGTGGGCAGCAGACGAGGATGAGGAGCTCCCCTGTTCCCTGCCAGCCCCGCACCCCCACCTTGGCTTTTGGGGGCACCTCAGCGCCCACATCCCGCACGGGCTCTTCTTGCTCAGGGCCGGCGTCCCCCTCTGCTCCGTCGGCGGGCGGGCTGCCGGCGCTGCCCGGTGCCGGTGCCGGTGCCCGCGGCGGGGCCGGGCGGGGCCGGGATCACGGGAACGGGCGGAAGGGACGCCCCCTGCGCTCGTCGGGCCGCTCGCGGTCGCGGTCGCGGCGCAGGCTGGCCAGCTCCTTGGTGAGCGCCTCCAGCCGGTGCCGCAGCTGCCGCACCTCCTCCCGGGCCCGGTTGCGCTCGGCTCGCACCTTGCTCCACTTCTCACGCCAGTTGGCCGTGCAGTCCGACCACCAGCGCATCGTCTTCTCCATCTGCGCCGCCCGCGCCCGCGCCTCCTCCAGCTCCCGCAGCCGCAGCTCCTCCCGCCCTTCCCAGTCCCCTTCCAGCAGCGCCGGCGGGGGCCCGGGCGAGGGTGTCCCGCTGGGGGGGGACGGGGAGGGCTCGGGGGCCAGCAGGGCCAGCAGGGAGCCCCCCGGCAGCGGCGGGGAGCCGGCCAGGCGCGACGCCCCGCTCTGGCTCATGGCGGGGCTCCCCTAGGGCATGGCCGTGTCACCGTGTCACCGTGCTGCGCCCAGGGACCTGCGGGAGACACCGGGGGTCAGCTGGGGACGGCGGGGGGAAGGGGCGGCAGGGGCACGGCTCCTGGTTTTGGGGAGCGGCACACTGAGTGATGATATCCCCGGGATGGACCCTAGCCAGGCCCTCGGTCGGACTCTGGCAATGTCCCCAGCCAGGTCCCAGCTGGCAGCCCCAGCCAGATCCCCAGGGAAGACACCAGAGAGGTCCCCAGTGAGGACCACAGCCCGCAGCCCAGCCGCTGGCATCTGTCTCAGCTTGGCTCTGCAGGCACCTCTGGCAGCGCACCACAACGGAGGGAAGACATCGACGTGTTATTCGCATGATGTCATCCGCATGAGGTCATTGATGACATCATCATCTGCGAGCCTCCAATATCATCCCTGGTGCCGGAGTTGGGGTACTCAGCTGCACCCCAGCAGCTCCAGCGAGGGTGACAGCCCGGATCCGGCGCCAGCAGAGCAGGAACAGCTCCGGAAGGAGAGCGGAGCTGCTGGGTTGGCGTGGCAGCAGGACGTGTCCAGGGGTGGATGTGCTCGCCGATGGTGCCACAACAAAGGGCCGGGGCTGAGTGTCCCCATCCCGGCATGGACCTCACATCCCGTCCTGGATCTCACACCCGGCGCGGCCAGGCGGGCAAACCGCCCCAGGAAACCTCAATGGGAGGCTGCTGCGCGTCCTAATGGGATAAGTACAGGCTCCAGCCGCGGCTGCCCGCAGCCCGGCAGGTTCCTGGGACGGTGCAGCCCAGACCTGCTGCCAAATCCGGCTGGGCTGGGAGAGCCAGTGCTGGAGCAGCGGGAACAGAGGCCGATGGCAGTTCTGGGATTTGCATGGGAGAAAGAACTAAATTTTCTGGTGGTATTTGCTGAAATGGTGAACTTTTGCTAAAACTCAGCAGCAAGGCCAGGCCCGTGCTCTGTCGGCTGCTCCTGGAGGAATCCCAGGCATTGTCAGCACCCGGCACAAGCAGCGCCCACGGGAGCACAGACGCTGCATCAGCGCCCACGGAAACCCCACGGAACGCATGCAGAGAACCGGCAACCATGCAGCACCCACGGGGAGCACGAGTGGACACAGGCACCCCTGGAACATCCCCGGGGAGCACGTGTGGAGCACGAACACCCACGGGACACCCGCGGGAAGCGCGCGTGGCTCACGGACACCCCCGGAACACCGCGGGAAGCACGCGTGGCCCACGGACACCGGCGGGAAGCACGCGTGGGTCCCGGGCACGGGCGGATCGCGCCCCCTCCCCGCGGGGCCGCCCCGCTCTCCGCATTGGCGCCGGGCTCCGTCACTCACCCGCCGCGGCCCGGGCGGCGGGAGCCCCGCATTCCTCCGCTCCGCCGGAATTCCTGCCGCTCCGGCCGGGAGGCACGGGCTGCCCGCTCGGACACGCGTGTGCCCGGCCGGGCCCGTGCCCGTGGCTGCGCGCACGCTGTGCCCCGGGGCGTGGGGACATGGGGGGGACGCGGGGCAGCGTGGCCGCGCAGTGTCTGCATCCCCACACACACCCGTGCTGGATCCCTCCTGGCCAAGCGGCAAAACCCCAAACCACCATTTTGCCCCTGGCTCTTTCCCTTTGCTGGATGTCTTTCAGACAAAAAACTGGGAAATGCTAGCGGCCAGGAGGGTTTGGAGTCGATGCCATGGGACACCAACTTTTTCTCCTCCAGGATCGCGCGAGGCAGGGAAAACCAAATCAAATTAAAGCAAAACTTCTTTCCAAGATCGGAATTTTTTTTTTCCAGCTGGAAACAGCCCCAAAAAGCTGGAGGCGAGGGATGCTTTCCTCTCCTACGCCCCTATCCCAGCGTCTTGTGCCAGGGGGACCGGCGCCGTCTCTCGCAGCCGGTGAAGCGATTTTGCAGGCGGTTTGGCCAGAGCTGCGGGTGCGTGGTTGCGGCTTTAACCCGCTCCCGGCACTAAAACCGGCAGAGTTTTTTCCAAGTCTTTACTGTTTGCTTGGACGTGCGTGTCTTGGTGACACCAGCAGGCTCGAGGATGCATTGCAGCATGCTGGGATTTGTGGGGTTTACCCTTGCAAAAATCAAACCTCCTTGGTCTGGGGCGTGTCACCGAAAGATGTGGCCAGCGACCCGCTTCTGTGGTCCAAGCATCATCATCCTGGCACCCTTCTCCTCTAGTTCTGGGTTTCCAGCCTGGCCATGGCCAGCAGGCACCCTCAAATCTGTTCCCAAGGAGCCCCCATTTGGGACAGACTGAAGGAGATGGTTGCCCTAGGCCATGAGCTGAGACCCAGAAATGTTGCACGAGTGGCTGCAGGCGCTGGGCAAGCACAGCGTGGCACTGCTGCCCCACAATGAGCACTGGGGTGGCTGAGTCACCCCTGCTCCCCACAGCTCTGCCCACGGCCACATCCCTGCAGCTGCACCCAGCAGCCAAGATGAAGCACAAAATGAAGCCTTTTGGGGCAAACCTAACCATTTTGGGTAAAAAAAAGACCTTTGTTCCCTCAGCTAGGCCAGCTGCATTGCTGAGAGCTGTGCTGTGGTGACTGGGGGTGTCATGGGGAATGCTGGCTCCATCCTGGCAATCACATCAAACTGTGGTATCACAGGATCAGACTATCTTGAGTTCAACGGGACATAAGAAACACTGAGTCCAACTCCCTGCTCCTTGCAGAACAACCTGGAAACAAACTGTGTGACTAAGAACGTCACCCAGATACTCCCTAACTCTGCCAGGGATGCCATGACCTCTTCTCTGGGGAGCCTCTCCCTGTGCCTGACCTCAATGAAAAGCCTTTTCCTAATGTCCAAACTAAACTGCCCCTGAAGCAACTCCATTCCACCTCCTGCGTCCTTTCACAGAGAGTGGAGATCAGCACCCCGTGCCCCCCAGGAATCCCTGGCACCCTGCATTTCCCAGGCGGGCTGGGCACAGCACAGAGTGCAGACACGGCGAGGATGCCAGGCACAGCTGGCACCGCGGGCATCCCGGAGAGTTTGAGTGCCCTGACCCTGGGCACAGAACTGGGGCTAAAAGCCGAATCTCCGGGTGGTGGGAGCTGCTGCTGGGGGGCTGCAGCTCGGGTCCCTTGGGTGCTGCAGCCCGGGGACCACGGCTGTCCCCCTGCCCGTGGTCTCTGTGTTTGGATTGCCCGTGTGGGTCTGCTCCGCTCGGACCCCGCCGTGTGGCGGGTGCAGGTCCCACTAGATGGCACAAGGACCGCAGGAATGGTCCCACATCGGGAACAATGCTCGAGCGGGGACGGCCGGTGGCGGTGAGCGGTGCCGAAGTGTCCCCTGGCTAATGGCAGGGGACCTCTGAGCCCCCTGAGGAGCTGCCACTGCGCGTCTCACCAGGCACGGCCGAAAGCGGGGGGTGTCCGGCTGCATCCCCCAAATCCCTTTGGTGCCAGCACGGCTGCAGCCTGGCAGGAGCGGCGGTACGGCTGGGGCATCCCCAAACCATCCGACCCTGGGTTTTCACCCACGACAGCATCACGCTAGAAGTTCTTCCTCTCGCCCCAAATCCAGCGCTGGGGTGGAGGCCCCCTGCAGCCCTGGGGCGGCAGGAAAATAGTGAGCGGGGCTTTGTCTTGGCATCGGGCAGACGAGTTTGGGTGGAGGAGAGGATGGGAAGTGAGTAAGTGATACTCGGCTTTCCTCCCTCTCTCACTGAGGAAGGCAGAGCCAAGCAGAACTCCTAAAGCTGACCCAACACTTTCGGGGTTGAAGCAATCCCTGTGGAAATGAATAGCCAGGACAAATTGCAAGGACTGAACCCATCGGCTGGCGGCAGCGAGCCGGTCCTGAGCCCGCATAAACCAGGCATCACCTGGAAATGTTACCGCGGTTTTATTCTCCTGATGCCTGAGGTTTTGGAGCTGCACTTCCCACTCTCCCTGCTGGAATGCAGACCAGCGTCGCAGCATGGCAAATCCGCCCGTGGTGACATCGGGGTGCCACCTCACCCGCAGGGCGAGCCGGGGAGGTGCCATCAGCGGGTGCTGCCCGTTTCTGGCCCGGTGGCAGGGACACGCTGCCCATCTCTGCCGAGCGACGTTTCCCTTTCTGGCTCCTTCCCGCTTCTGGACAGCGAAGGAAGCCCGGGGCTGTTCTTTGTTCCAGGCACAAAGGGCAGCCGCGCTCCCGTCAGCGCCGGACAAAGGCCGGTCCCGCCGGGGCTCCGTGCCCTCCCGCGGCCCCCGCCGTGCCCGCGGCTCGCAGGCGATGAGCTGTGCATGGCTCACCGCTCCGGCGGTGACTGCAGCCATTCACTGAGAGCCCCGCGGGCTTGGGGAGGTGCCAAGAGCCCGACATTCCCCCATGAGCCCCGCCGTGCGAGAGTCACATCGCAGCGCTTTCCGTGCCCTTCTCCCCATCTCCGCACTTGGGGGGCTGTGGTGTGAGTCACTCTGGCTGCCACACAACCACCTTGCTCCGGTATCCGGGGGTGCTTGCGAAACAATCACTCGGTGATTGCCTCCTGGCAGCGGGAACAGCATCGCTGGGTGCTCCCCAGGGAGCTGCACCTTTGGGGACCGCTGGGACAGGCTGGTTCTTGGGCAGCCGAGCCCGCTGCTGGTGCCCAGGGCTCACCCTTTTCCCACCCTGCCGCACCAGGAGCAGGGTTGGAGCACTCCCCAGGCCCGGGTTGGGATCAAGTCTCCCACCCCCAGTGCCACGGTGCCAGGCTGGCTCCATCCAGCACCCGGGCATGGGCAGGAAGGGGCGTGGGCGCTGTAATCTTCTCAAGGAGAAATGGTGCCACTTACCTTTCTGGGCACCTTACCTGGCAGGAAGCCAGGGCCAGGCTGCTGGAGAGGTTGTGCCATCCTTTTCTCCCCAGCAGAGGAGGGTTGGTAGCACCACGGTGCCCTCAGGCTCCAGAGCCACCCTTGGCTCCAGTGGCAAAGCTGTGGAATTACAGCAAATGCTACAGATTTTGGAAAAAAAAAAAACAACCAAACAAAAAAACCCCAAAAAACCAAACAAAAAACCCCCCAAAACCCAAAACAACAACAACAAAAACCAACCCCCCAAAACAAACAAACAAAAACCCCAAAAAAACCACAAAAACCAAAACCAACCAACCCCCCCAAAAAACAAACAAAAAAACCCCCCAAAACCAAAACAACAACAACAAAAACCAACCCCCCAAAACAAACAAACAAACAAACAAACAAACAAACAAAAACCAGCCAGGAAAACCACTAAATCCACGTGGGAAAT